GGAGCATATGTTCAGTCTTAAAATGCCTAGCAAATTACGGATCAGGCAATAAGTCCAGCAGCTATCTCAATCAATCGTCAGCTATGGAAAGATCGGGTTCCAAAGGCCGGATCCCTTGTGAATCAAGTCACGAAAAGTTCAAGAATCGGCAACAGGCCATGGGCCTATTTCTTCAGTGCCGACACTTCTATTCTATTCTTATCTATCCTATTCTATTCTTTTCTATTCTATTATATTCTTTTCTATTGTATGTCTCATGGTCCGCAGGTCACCGGCGTGAGTGGCGGCTGCTGCACAGGTATGCGCTGCACATGCTGCACCTGCAGGACGGCACGCAGCTCAACGTCGGCATCGTCAGCCAGCCTGTGTCGTGCTCCAAGTGCGTCCACTTGTTTTAATGTTAATCTAATATTTTATACTTTATATGTGACTTACCTAAAAAGTATTTTGGCCCAAACAGAACACGGTAGCTATAATGTTGACCGCCTCGTAGAGTACCTGAGAGCAATAAACATGTTCGACTGTATATGATCTGGTCAACGCTGAATACATGTGATGCAATATGTTCTTAGCCCATAATGCCCAACGTGACATTCGGTGCGAGATAGCTTAGCAGCTGAAGCGCTAGTAATCATAGGGTCACTAAACTAACTAACTAACTTATATGTGACTTACATGATAGTGAGTTCGTTTAGCTGTTGCCTGGAGACTAGTATTTTAATGTTAATCTAATATTTTATACTCTATATGCGGCTTACATGATGGTTTGTTTGTTTAGCTGTTGGCACAAGTTATGGAGCTCCGCATTGTATGATGATAATCACCTGGAGGCTAGGAGTTTCCTAAATTTTATTTTGAAATTCTATTCTTTAGTTTAAATAGAAAATATGTTACTACCGCTGCGACTTTCAACAAATGCGCCTGTAAACAACTGAAATAATCTTTGTTATTTCAGTTATTGAATTTATTGTAAATTTTGCACTAGATTTGATGGACTAGGCTACGTTAATAAAATATAAACATTTAAAATAATTATCTATCCACTATGATAAATTTTGCTTCTTGAATCAATATTATTTTAAATTAATAAGCTGTGCGGTGTGCAGCTTGGAGTTGGGCTACGTGTGCCACGTGGGCAGCCGTCGGCCCACCCCCGTCAGCGAGGTGGGCTTCCAGCTCTGGAACTTCGGGGAGCGCGGCAGCCCGCCTGACGACTACGCCTTCAGCTTTGTCGCGGGTGGGTGACTACGTCTTGTACGCGGGTGGGTGACTACGTCTTGTACGCGGGTGGGTTACTACGAGGTGGGTTACTACGAGGTGGGTTACTACAATACTACGCCTTCAGTTGTCGCGGGTAGGTTACTACGTCTTGTATGCGGGTGGGTGACTACGTCTACGAAGGTGGGTTACTACTACTACGCCTTCAGCTTTGTCGCGGGTGGGTGAACATGAACCGCTGAGCCCCGACCTTAAATACTCTGAACCGCTGAACCCCGACCTTAAATACTCTGAACCGCTGAACCCCGACCTTAAATACTCTGAACCGCTGAACCCCGACCTTAAATACTCTGAAACGCTGAACCCCAACCTTAAGTACTCTGAACCGCTGAACCCTGACCTTAAGTACTCTGAACCGCTGAACCCCGACCTTAAATAGTCTGAAACGCTGAACCCCGACCTTAAATACTCTGAACCGCTGAACCCCGACCTTAAATATTCTGAACCGCTGAACCCCGATCTTGAATGCTCTGGACCGCTGACCTGACCTTAAATACTCTGAACCGCTGAACCCCGACCTTAAATACTCTGAACCGCTAAACCCCGACCTTATATACTATGGACCGCTGAACCCCGACCTTAAATACTCGGAACCGCTGAACCCCGACCTTGAATACTCTGAACCGCTGAACCCCGACCTTACATACTCTGGACCGCTGAACCCCGACCTTAAATACTCTGAACCGCTGAACCCCGACCTTAAATACTCTGAACCGCTGAGTCCTGACCTTAAATACTCTGAACCGCTGTACCCCGACCTTATATATTCTGAACCGCTGAACCCTGACTTTTAAGACCCCGATCCACTGAACCCCGACATTCTGGACACAAATTTTCATTGCTCCGACCCTCGAAACCCTGATTCACGAACCCATTCTCGGTGCCTAAAAAGTTTGCCACGCTAGTCCTATCGCCAAATGTAATAGCATTAAACAACAGCGCAGTATATTTGCCAAGCATCCTAAAAATTAGCTTCATTAAATCAGCTCGGAATAAATTTATTCATGCACGGCGCACGAATAATGACTAATTTTTTCGATACAAACTCAATAACTAGTATTAATATAACACGTAATAATCTAGTATCATTACTAGTATTAATATAACAACGACGCACAATACTGATCGAGTAGGTTTCATCTGTAAATTTATATCGGCTTTTGTGGGGAAATTCGAAGGCGGTAGTTTCATTGAGGAATCTATCGGCAGCTGATTATTTTAACCTTGTATTGTCTATCATCTATAGAGGTGTAAAGGTAATAAAAAATTATAATAGTATTTTTGTGTGGGCTCAGTAACGCATCATGAAGTTATCTTGGTTTCTTATTGGATAAAATAAGATAAATTCACTAGGTTCTCAGCCACAGTGGTTACAGACCCCACATTCCAAACGGATTGCGGTCGTGAACCGAGGAACCACATTAGGAACCACAATAGAGGAACCACAATAATAATTAATGAGCTGCAGAATTAGCTGCTAAAAGTTGATGGTGGTGCAGGGGGGCGGCGCCATGTGCTGGAGGTGCAGGGGGTGGAGGGGGCGGGCGGGGCCCCGGTGTTCTTCATGGGGTGGCAGTGGGAGGCGAGGATCGTCGAGAAGTTCGTCAGAGTCAAGTGAGTTACTGGCCAATATTTCCCTTATTATAATCCTTATTATAATGGACAATCCTCTTATGAGTGGACAATATTTCCCTTAAGTATGGACTATCCCCTTAACACGCTAAGTGCGGCAACGACCCACAGCGCTGGCAGCTGGCCTAAAAACGGCCAAGTCCGCTGCTAAAAAGGCCTATAATTCAAAATACACTAGTAAATTTGCAGGTTCAGGTGCAAAAATTAAATTTTCATTTTTTCGTACATTTTAGATTTTAATGAGGCAGTACTGCCATCATAAATTTTTGTCGACAAACGCAATTGAAAAAAAAACTAAATCGCGGAATTTATCCTGAAAAAAAGACCCCGCCACCCACCCGTGGGTCGTCCCGCACTTAACGTGTTAATTAAGAATGGACGATATCCCTTTAGGAGTGAACAATATCTCCTTGAGAGTGAACAATATCCCCTTAAGAATTATTATTAAATTATTTTTAAATTATTATATTATATTATTAAATTAAGACAATTGATATGAATTAACCCTACTTATGGGTTCAATGTCGGTGTCTCATTCCGGATACGAAACTTCAGTACGCTACCTGGACAGTTGATTCAAGTTAATTAGTATAATAATCATATCTAAAAATATTTCCATTATTCTGATATGATTACCAGACTAATAATTTATAAGAGTGAACTGTTTTATTCAACTTTCTCCTAATTTACCTAACGATCAATACCCCTCACTCACTCTTAACACGACAGGTTGGATGGGGTGCCAGGCTGGGGTGTGGTTGAGTTCCAGTACAACCAGGGTCCAGGGGATCACCGACCCCCTACCCTCGCTGGGGGGGACCCTACATGGACCCTGCAGCTCAACAAGGGCTGAGACCCCCAACCCTCGCTGGGGGGGACCCTACATGGACCCTGCAGCTCAACAAGGGCTGAGCCCCGCTACAATGTTCATGAAGCCTCGAGTGCGACGTGGGCAATAAATATGGAACATGTCATGTAGGCTTCATGTCCGTTGTATTATATGCAGAAATTAAAGCTTGCTTTTTATCCCAAAGCTAAACAGCATCTTACAACTGACTCTCCACTCTGTTAACATTTTTGTAGAACCTCTCGACAGGCTCCTATTAATGTGATGTGATAAAGAATATATAGAACCTCCTTTTTATAGAGTGCAAGCCTCCACGAATTTGAAATTGGAATAATAAGTCTAGCAACAACGCTAAGGTAACTAACTCTCCAATTAACAGCAAAGAAAATAGTCAGAAAATTCACCATTTCTTATGCGAAAAAATTCCGGCTCCATCGTCAGTTCAAAAAGCTAAAACACAAGTACAAACAATTAGCAAACTAAAATTCACATCAAAGATATTAAAATATAAATTGTCAAATGAAAACGAATAAGAATGAGATAAACATGAGCAAACAAATTTATCTATTTACAATTTCAGGGGGGCACCGGGAGATATGAACTGTAAGCGGCATTTAGACTAGGCTTTTGTTTAAAAATATACAGGGACTCTAAAATTCGAGTTGAGGTAAAGCGCCACTCTTAATTCGAACTCCCTTTGACGCTTGCCAATCCGAACACACAGTAAAAAAATTGGTTCTCCAGCCGGTACATTAACTTTGGTTGTGGCCGACGTAACCCCGACCTCCAAAACGTGAGGTCACGGACGGACAGACAGACGGACATGGCGCACTTTATTATTAAGGAGTTATTCTGATACCTGATTATCTTGCTGATATTTTCCTCTGTTCTGCTCAATGCCCAAAGTTGCATATTCGACTGGAATTGTTATGAGAATTTCCCTCATCTAATATAAATTTTGCAACTCGAAGACCGAGTTCCTTAAAGACCGACGTGAACTCAAGCAAGAGGTAACACTGCATGTCGTCATTATTTACCGTTACCCATTGAGAAGAGAGTTGATATTTCGAAATTATAACTATAAACATAAAAATTCTGCCCACTGATGTGGAGGCGCCAACACTGAACCCATTCAAAAACAGGCTAGATGGCTGCTTAGCAGACCATCAGTAGACAGTTGAGTTTCCGCTGAACCCAGCCAGGCTTAGTAATGAGAGTCTCATAGAGACACAAAGTACGGAGAAGATGCAGAACCTCAACAGGCCTTGGGCCATCACCGAGAATTAACCTATGTATCATATGTAAAAATCTTATATCAATGACGGTTTATAGCGAATTTAAATGAATAGAAACAAATTTAACAGTTGGGTAGGAGCTTGGAAAATAAGTACTATTCCATTTCATCCTAGCACTCGTTACAATGCCAATAAATATCACAGGAAACCAACAGGAGATTATATCCTGCGCCCTCCTCGGAGCATTTGAATTAAGGCGTTTAATTACGCTAGACTCGCCAGGAGTCAAGCGATGCGTCATGTCTCAGCCACCGTCAAAGCTTCACTTCAGTTCAATGTAAAACTTTGCTCACAGAGAATTTGCTCCCTGATGCATAAGTACGACCGAGATTAACGCATATCCATTAAGTGTGCACACGAAAAACGAGCAAGGTAAGTAGTGTGCAGATAGCAGGACAATTGAAGATACTTTAACGGTTATCGATGTATTAGGATGGCAGTGATAAAAGGATGGTCACAAAATTAAGATGATCCAAATAAATATGGGCACATTGTCGAATGACACGACTATTAGGGAGAATAATTTAAGAAAATAAACCTAAAGAACCTAAACAAAAAATTTATTTAGCGACCTAAGAGCTGACATCACCGACGAACAAGACTGGGTACCGAAAAGAAATTATTCTTTTTTTCAATTCAACAAACATTCTTTGGGATAAATCGAAAAGAAACCTCTCAACGTTAATGGAGGAAAAGATAAAACAATTATTGAAAAAGGCCTCATCAAATCCCTGCAACGTTGGCAATTGCAATACTGAGAGAAGCTCGAGATGAAACAAAGACAAGAGCTTTAAACAAGAAATGATAGTCCGTAATTGATGTGATGTATTCAACTTACGAAAAAATTGCTAGTTTTCCCTAACTTTACCAGAAGAGTTCGCGAGAAATTAGTAAGATTTTCGAGGGGTCTTTGACTTACCATAATGGACATAACCGAATCAAATATATCTTAATCGGAGGATTAACACGATTTACGATGATGTAAAATGTGTACTTTATTAACATTTGCGTGTCGTCCATCAAAAAAAATTAGCCTATACGAGAGCATTAGCCTGTTTTAACTGCTGACATATATTACAATGAATGCACGGACTATTAGCGCTCTTTACGATATCTCTAGTCAAAACTTTAATAGAAATAACTAACCAACAAACTACAATACTTTACACAAAATTTCCTCCAGCTAGGCACCATCAGTTGAGTTCACCGACGCCTGTAAACCATCATGGGTGAGTTGTTTCGCACATGCAGAGTTTTACAATGGGAAAACATGCAAAGTTCTTCAATGGGAAATAAACTTCACATTTATTGTACGTGTTCTACCTTCAACTACTCTAATCTACATCGTTGCTCACTTTGCGTCAGGTTGCGCACAGGCTTTGTTATTTTCAGTTTGCTATAACATTAAAAAACTCTATTTATATTTGCCGATCTAAATCAATGACCATTTATACTCAGCAAACGGATTACTTCACGCACAACTGAATTTTTGATTCATAGAAATGACATAAAATTGCCTTGTTTAGTGATGAATTTATTTCCTCCGCACAAAAGTTACTCAATAACAACTGATCAGTTCAGAAACTGTTGATGAATTAATATACAATAATATAGATGTAGATCAACCGTAGACGTGTTGACAGGTCTCGCATCCACACGTCAACTTGCAACATTATCAGTGCACGGCTACCTGCACCTGTTGCCAGATGCCGTCAACATGTCGCCGTTGCCAGATACTTGCTACAGTTGCCAGATGCTGTCAACATGCCGCCATTGACAGATACTTGCTGCAGTTGCCAGATGCCGTCAACATGCCGCCGTTACCATATACTTGCTGCAGTTGCCAGATGCCGTCAACATGCCGCCATTGACAGATACTTGCTGCAGTTGCCAGATGCCGTCAACATGCCGCCGTTGCCAGATGCTTGCTGCAGTTGCCAGATGCCGTCAACATGCCGCCGTTGCCAGATGCTTGCTGCAGTTGCCAGATGCCGTCAACATGTCGCCGTTGACAGATACTTGCTGCAGTTGCCAGATGCCGTCAACATGCCGCCATTGACAGATACTTGCTACAGTTGCCAGATGCCGTCAACATGTCGCCGTTGCCAGATACTTGCTGCAGTTGCCAGATGCCGTCAACATGCCGCCGTTGACAGATACTTGCTGCAGTTGCCAGATGCCGTCAACATGTCGCCGTTACCAGATAGTTGCTGCAGTTGCCAGATGCTGTCAACATGTCGCCGTTGCCAGATACTTGCTACAGTTGCCAGATGCCGTCAACATGTCGCCGTTGACAGATGCTTGCTGCAGTTGCCAGATGAGACCCGCTGAGGTGCCATTATCTCGCGCTCTCATCCATTAAACCTTCTCGTCTCAAGTGAGACTTCGATCCAAACTTTGACATTTGCCGGCTCCTGAAAACAAAGTTGCCTGTGTCAAAACGAATCAATTTATACGCCAAATACTTCCTTTTATTAACAAGTGTTATGCCATAATAAATTTTATTATAACAGCGATAGGTAACACTATATGAAAAGGTTAGTTAATACAGTAGCGTCGAGCCTAAAAGCAGATATTCTGATTAATATGCTACCATGGAGAGACCTGACTAAATTTTTGAATATGATTTAGGAAATTGCGAATTTACGATTATAACTGATTAACGCCACTCCATTACGCTTCAAATTCCACAGTTGACCACAAATGAAGGTTTCGCACGTAACCAAGTTCAAGTTACAGTTTGAGCTCGAGGCGGGATCTCTCGAGACAAAAAGCGTTGCAATAGAGCAAGATATGGGCCTTTACTTTCAAAAAAAGTTAAGAGATCGTAAGTTCATCAGTCAATCATTGACGGCCTTTCAAGCAAAATCCACCAATCATAGACAAGAAAATAGAGCGTAAGTACTTACGTTCACTTAGCGAGTTTTGAAAGTATTGGCCCTGCACCACATAAAAAGTCTAGGGTGCAAATCACGTGGCAAATGATGCCACTGTGAACGCCACTTTAGCCACATCACGTGGCAAATGATGCTACTGTGAACGTCACTTCAGCCACATCACGTGGCAAATGATGCTACTGTGAACGTCACTTCAGCCACATCACGTGGCAAATGATGCTTAATACACAGACTTAAATATGATAATTTAATGAGTGCTCCTCCAGACTCTGCGCGGTTACGTCAAACGTCAAGTTATTGGTGAGCACAAAATACGTAGACTTAAATATGATAATTAAATGACAAATTTAAGATCCTGTTGAGTTAGTCAGTTACATATTGGCTTAAAAGCGCTGATTATACCCGAAACACGAGCCAAAGATTGAATAAATATAGAAAAAGGACACGGTGTCAGCTCAGGGACCAGGACAATTATGTTTTGATACTCAAAAAAAATTTAAATGTAGCAGATTATCAAGCAATAAGTTCTCAATGCAAGACTAATAATGTTGAATGAATGAAGTGATGTGTATAGTATAAGAGGCGTGAGTTTAATGAAGAACTGTCAGGGAATTTATTGATTTTACGAACGCTTGATGGGGGGTGGTCACTGCACCAGTGACAGTCACTGCGTCAGTGACAGTAAAAATACAGCAAATATAGCACAGTACGGCCGTTGTGTCAACAACACAGCACAGTACGGCCGTTGTGTCAACAACACAGCACAGTACGGCCGTTGTGTCAACAACACAGCACAGTACGGCCGTCATGTCAACAACACAGCACAGTACGGCCGT